ATATATATATATATATATATATATATATCTTTTTATCGCAGTGTGTCAAATCCACTATTGTATAGAATGCCTAGGAATTATATAGAATGCCTGGAATTTGTTGTCTAAGAATGAAATGATTTATGTTTCACACATTTCCTAGGCATTCTATACAATGCCGAAGAGCAACCCTGGGTATGGGGGGGGGGGGTTGGGGGCTCGGCGGTGGCGTGGAGATCGCGACACACGTGCTTCGTGTTCCCGCCAAAGACGCTTGCCCCCCGATTGTTTCCAGATGGCTGTTGCGATGTTGGAAGATCAGATCGTAGTTTCAGACAAGACGTCATGTTGACAGGCAACGGCGGTTTTCCTTTAGGGTAAACAAATCATGAACTGGAAAAATCGGGACACCCCCAAGGATTGACCTGTACCTCCACCTTTGTGAGCCGTGCCACAAGAAATAAAAAGGTGCCAAAAAAAGTGTTGGGATGTTGCCAATGGTGTTATTTTTCTGAATTCAACTCCCGTGATCAGGTCGATCTTATCGATTTTCAGTCTCATTCTAACAGGGAATATAAACTTATAATGGTGTACCAAGATCACCTCACAAATTTTGTGGTTCTGAGGGCCCTAACATCAAAGAGAGCGGAAGAATTACCCTACACAATAGTGGACCTATTTACGTTGCTTGGAATTCCATCAATTCTACAGTCCGATAAGGGTAGGGAATTCTCCAACAATGTGGTGACAGACTAAAGGAGTACTGGCCCAAGTTGAAGATCATCCATGGTAAACCTCGCCACTCACAAAGCCAGGGCAGTGTCGAAAGAGCTAATCAAGACATCGAAAACATGCTAAGCGTTTTGGATGCAAGATGAAAAAAACGGACCACTGGACTGAGGGATTAGAATTTCTCCAATTTATGAAGACTATGGTCTTTCATTCTGGGATCAAGAGAACGCCTTATGAAGCTCTGTTTGGTTGCAAAGCTTAAGCGGGCCTTGAAAAAAAACGGACCACTGGACTGAGGGATTAGAATTTCTCCAATTTATGAAGACTATGGTCTTTCATTCTGGGATCAAGAGAACGCCTTATGAAGCTCTGTTTGGTTGCAAAGCTTAAGCGGGCCTTGCAACGTCTTCCATACCCTCTGACGTTTTGCAAAACATACAGACAAAGGAAGAACTCGAAAAAAGAAAATAGAAAGCGTAAAAACAAAGCGGGAAGAAGCAAGTCAGCAGATGCAAGATACAGAGCCCACTACACAGAATACTGAAGAGAATGCAACCAATAATGGAGGAAACCAAACTGATTGTGACGTCCTGGTTACCGAAGAGCCTTCCACTTTTGCTGTTTGTTGTGTCTGCTTAAAAGAAAGCAGCGGTGCCCATTCATGGCGAAACTGTCGCCGTATTGTTCATGTTATCTGTGGGCATGCTGATAAAGACGAGGAAATAGAAGGTTATGGTGTTGGTATTTTGTGTAGCTTGTATTTCAAGATGAAGAGAGCTGTAGAGGCTAGAAAAGATTATAAATCGAACCTTGAAATGTAGGCCCAAAAAAAATAAAGAAATGAAAAAAAAATGAAAATAAACTCTGACAAAAAATTCCCTCCTGCACCTTTAGGAGCCACTGTGCGATTTCCTAATCCTGACGTTGACAAAAGAGGGG